CTGCCGTCGTAAATACTGGTCAAGGATATGCTTAACTATAAGAATTCGCTGCAACTTAGAATATGACGGTTATGTCTAATAAAATGTACCAAAAAACGCATCCATAAGTGTTTTATTATACCCACAAAATAACTTTAGAGGGTAAAAGAAAACATTAGCTGAAGGATATTAAAAATCTCTTAAAATAGCTGTTATAAACGATGCTACTTAGAGTTAACGATCCAATAGAACCAATTATAATGATTTATCTGGTGCTATTAGTGTAACATACATTTAATGACGTTTTTATAACATTTTAATTCCGGGAATTCATAATACTATCGACTGGTACGTGATGGCACGCGACAATGATCATTTATTACTCACACAATTCAAACGATCGTGCAATACGAAATGCCTAAATATTACTCTTTAAAAACGGGCTATGCTCCGATTCCCTTAAATGTATTTCGTTCACGTTTGATGTTTTTATTTTATTTTTATTTTTTTATTTTTTTTTTATATGTTCAAAAATCCGAAAAAACTCTAGTATTATAATTTCTAATCGTATTATTATCGCAATGCTGTTATATTTAACTATGCACATTGTTAATGTTTTAAAAATAAGGAAACTATGAAAGTTCAATTAAAGTATGATTTTTTATTTTTTTTATTGCGTTCAACACTTCTTTGTTAATATTTTCATAGGTTTTGAATTCCTATTGTAATTATTTAGCGATATTTTTTTCATATTTTAAGTATGTAGTAACTTCTATAGTTCAAACAAAAAATATATTCTTAAAAAATGCCAATCATGTAATGGATAAAAACTTATCAAGTCTTTTAATATTCACTATAATATGTGTATTTATACAATGCTTCGATAAGTTATAAAAATTTATGTATTGCGATTCTATTTTTTTTTTTTTTTTTTTTTTATAAACACATTACTTTTTAAAATATAAACAGTTTTTATATTGTTATTTTTATAAAACTACACGCATAACTTTTTTATAGGGTTAATTCCTCCAAATATTTTAATGATCGAAAATCATAAATCTTTTAATCAAGAAATATGTTTTAAATTTCAAACAAAATAGTGCAATATCGTCAACTTTTATTGCATCTCTAATTTTATAAATATTATTATTTTATTTTACGCGAATTAAAACCTATCTAATATAGAAATGATCGAGACCTAATATTTTTTTTCATTTTAGATAGGTTTCGATTTGTTACAGATCGACAAAAAAAAAAGTTACAATAAATATTTATTATTATAAACTTCTTTATTATTTATTACATTTTACCAACTTTTTATTAGATGTACTCGTAATTAAAAATTATTTATTATAAAATGACAATAAATTGGTAATTAAGTATAAAAACTTAATGCAGTCTGCGGCGTAAAACAAAATATAAGGACAAAACAAAAAAAATCAAAAAATAAATAAATTTAGTGTAATATAATAATTCATATCGATTATTAACTGATAATTTTAAAATAGGTATTTTCATAATAAACTAAAAATTAGTAGTACACTACGAAAATATTGTTTTCATTTTCATGTTAGACAAGTTCCATCTTACTCAGGAATGATGTATTTAAAAATGTATTAGAACCACCGAGACCGAATTTTTCCCTAAAAACAGGTTTCTATATTATTCAGATTCAATATTAATTAGGTTGTACATCTATTTAATAAATATGAACGCATAATAAATAAATTAAATAAATAAACACTATAAAATAAGTATATTGATAACATTTTTCCTAAATATTCATATGAAAGAAATTTTAGTATAGCAACAAGTCTAATACATTAAATCCAATAAATCAATGATAACTTATATAACTCGAATTATTGAAAAACTACAGGCGCGTGAACACAATATCGCAGTGAAATCGTAGAGAATAATGAGAGTAATGTAATGAACCAGTGCCGTATTTCTCATTAAACACTATACGCTAGTGCTCAGGGCGGCAATTTTTCAAGGGCGCCAAATAATTTTTAATAATAAATTTTTAGTATATGTAACTAGAACTAAAATAAATGCAACTAATTATAAAATGTTTTATTTTATTAAAGACAATGGGTACTAGACATTAACTATTTAATTTTGAATATAATTTAAAAATTAACTATATTAATCATTTTTTACTACCATGTTTTTTATCATTACATTTTATATCATATTTTTATAATTAAGTTTTCCATATGAACGTATGTATGCATTTTTATAACAGCTGTATATTTTTATTTTACATCATTAAAATGTTAAGTAATAAAGGAAACAACTGTAATTGTATGCTTTAATAACATTTTTTAAACTAAAAATATATTTATATTAAAAGGCGGCAATTTATTTTGTGTTTAAAGAGGTGCAATAGTTAAATCCGGCGCTGTAGAGAACATGTGGACAGCAAAAACGAATTCGAGAGTTTTCATGTACGCAAACAAAACAACGTTATTTGTACAATATACCCGTAGTACCTAACATACCTAAGTTATTTTGTTGAAAATCTGATGATATAGGGATATATATGTATATATATAAAGCGAACCATCGAAAGATAACTATGTGAAGAGAAAAACTATTGAAATATTCATCTGGAATGCATAACGTATAATATCTCTATTATTATGTATCTATATACGTTATAACCCGAGATGTAGTTATTTTTTTCTTTCTAATCGACAACATATTGACAATCGTAGACCAGGTAAGATGGGTCGTTTTATGCCCTCGCACCGAGCATTGAGCTTGGTCACCTGCAGCGTTCTTCGAAAACCATTGAAATTAACACGTTAGTGCATACGTATAAATATGTAATACAATTAATGGATCTGTTTACACACTATGTGCTTTGCACCGAATCGAATTCGGGTGAACGTTGGTCTCGATACGGTATTGTACAAGTCTTTTACGCGATTTCTAAAATCGGGAAAATAATTCTCTACACATATATTTTTGTATGCGTTCCCGTCATGTTAGTGTGTTGTTGTAACAACGTATGTTAGCACTGCCGTAACTAGGAACACTCAACCCTCGCAGCCAGAAATTTCAAGAAATGAACAAGTGCCAAAAGACTGTATGTAAACCACGGAAGAATTACGCATTTGTAAAAGTCAATACCGTATGAAATGCGGCAAAAAAAAAAAAAAGATATACAAACAGTGAAATTCTTTTTATGTATATGAATACGTAAATCGTTTATACCAACGTGTTATTATGCACGTTCATATTTTTAATCAATGTTTCGTAGAAATTATTTTAATAATTAATATTTTTTTTTTTTATTTTTTTTAGTCAGTTGCACGGTTAGGTTGTATATTTGTCGCTAACCTAACCAAAAATTATTTTGCAACCATAATACCTATAGCGGTTGAACTCGCATCCCGGAAAATCTATACACCTATCTACGCATAGGGTGTTGATGTTTATTTATTTGTTGCTACGTTTGTACATTCCTGCTTTAGTGCGTCATCGTATCGAATATTTAAACGTAATTATAATGTAATTAAACGGATCCAGACGCCAGTCAGACGAGATATGTATAGACATATGCTGCACAAACAATGAAAAGTACTTAAATGTATGAACAACGGTGTAACTTCTCCTGTCGGTTAACGAACATCTCATTGTGGAATGTGTAGGTATTCGTCGTCTGGTCTTCTTTCAACGTGTTACTATTTTTAAATGATGTCATACGTAACGAAAGATTCACGTAGTCGCATCGAAACTTCATGACGATATCATTTATAATATTGTAAAACACGCATATATTAAGCAATAAGGCATATAATTTTCAGATGTAAAAGTATTACTAACTTCACTGCGGTGAATAAGTTCATAAGCCAGGAAGGTTAATTACGATTATAATACTCCAATTGAATTCGTATAGACCAGGAGTCGGCAAACTTTTGAACCACGCGGGCCATATTTTTTTTTTCAAATGCTGATCAAGGGCCACATTAAAAAAAAAATGTTATATATGATATACACTAATAATTGTATTGCTGTTATATTTGATAATTTTACATAGAAATATGAGTATATAAAATACGAATATTACTGGAAAAAAATGCTTTTAAGAAAAAATTTAATTTTTTGACAAATTAAACATTAGGCTTACCTTTGTTTTCGACGAAAAAGTATGAATCAACCAAGAATTATTAAAAAAAACGATGTTCATCACAATTTTTTTCTTTTTTTAGTCGCCATAATGTTTGGATTTACTTGTAAAAAATGAAACTATTACAAACGCAAACAGTCACACGTACGGGCGTAATCACAGTGTAATACTAATTGCTACAAACGCAAAGTAACTATAACCATAGATTGATTATATTTAAAATTTTAATTTTTAAACATATATAAGTATATTTAATTTATCCTATGACAGAGTAGTGCGACCATCATTATCTTCGACTCCGATTAGATAATAATAACAATTTTATAGATTAAACTGACTATATAACTATATAGTATAAACATCAAATATTAACGATTAGATTAGATTTTATTTATAAAGAAAAAATAATTGAATAGTATTGAAAATTATATGAAAAATTTTATTGAACAAAACTAAAACACAAAAATTAACCATCGCTGTGCGGGCCATAAAAAATTGCTTCGTGGGCCACATGCGGCCCGCGGGCCGCGGGTTGCCGACCCCTGGTTTAGACAATAGAGAAGTGTTATGTTACGGTTTGAATTATTTCAAACGAATCGTTTCGCCTTGAAAATAAACGTTTCTTCGTTACTTAGTACCATTGTTTGGTAATAAGTGTATGACTATAACTGTAAACGATACACCTATCGATATCCAAATACATAAAAAAAAAAAAAAATTATCGTAGAAATACTTGAAGTATTTTTGGCCCATTTTCTTTAGCCATACGGGCACCCCGCATACTTGGTGGGAACACATTCCACCCGCGTTTGACGCCTACAGCGTCCACGCTCTACCCAACGCACCTACAGTATAATGCGCATCATTCGTTCACGAGCTCTCCTCGATTAATGTGTACTATCCCTCAGTTAGATCGTTGATCATTTTCTTTTTCAATTTCGTTAACGTTTTTTTTTAGCTGCTCACGGGGTAAGTATATTTCATGTTCATGTATTACTATTTGTTAATCGAGTACATTTCAAATAGGGATTTTGCGTCTTGTTGAATAACACTACATTTTCTATAACGCGCGGTTACAATGTGGTTTAGAAGTGTAGCCATAGATTACTATAAGGCCTATACGTTTTTTCGAATTAGTTTTACATTCGGATACTATCGAAATATTTTGGATCATTTTCCGTTGTCGTACACTCAACTCCGGCGTAATTATTTAACTTACTCGTAGTTTTTCAAATATATTCGTAGTTGTGTTAACTATTTTGAAATCGATGTAACAACTAATTGTCTTATGTTTTTCCGCTAATCTCAAGATTAAAAGTAAACTACAGTATTTTTTTTTCTCTTTTTATGATTAGTTTAACAATTATAACTATTAACAATTATAACTATTCTCTAGCATAACAATTCTATTTAATTTATTTATTTGTTTATTTATCTATTTATTTATGTATTTATATATTGAATAAACGCTTGTTAGGTCAGGTACAATACAATATAATAAATTATGAACAGTGAATGAAACAATGAACAAAAAGTCTCATAATCCATAATGAATAGGTAATATTTAAATTATAAAAAACAGACGATTACCAATGTAAGAGTATTATACAAATATATTATTTATATGATGTTATTGCACCTGACTTAATTTTTGTGGTGAGCGTTTTTATTGAAACAATATGTACAACGAAATTATGTTTTGGCTTTTGAATAAATCTCTTCGAAAATACAAAATAATTACATTTTAATTTGTAAAAACAAAAATGAAACGTTTGCATAAAATTGTATTGAAATGTGATTGTTAGTGCACAAATAACGAACTCTGCATTTGGTAACTTATGTTCAAAGTATTTTATTATTAATATTGCCTTATAAATATTAACTACTAAAACAACCTAATATATTAACTTATGTCACTTACTTCGTTTATAGCTAATTAATTTAAAAATGTATCTAGTATAATTACCTAAGCTTAAATATCGTACTTAGATATACTTTCTTCTGAATTCATATTAAAATTAAACCCCAAATGTTTTGTTTTAAGGTAATAATCGTTATTTTTATAGATTAATCAATCATGATAATGTATGGTTATAAACATTTAAACACGAAGAAACTGCAATACTTAAGCAGTCACCTACAAAATTTGTGTTGGTCGAAAATGATAACTGTGATGTCGGTACTATTGATAATTTTCCATTCAGCGAATTCATCATTGATTTGTGGCTCCAGTATAAGATCAGCTGGTGGTAAGAAAACGAATATTATATTTGTTATTAATTAAGTTATAACTTATAAATAATAGCTATAATCACGCGAAAAATCATTACAAATTGATATCTACACAATCGGTGTCGTGTAATATGTGGCCATAATATGTATGTATGTATATTACGTATCAAAAGATAATTTTTAGAGTTAACTCGTTATGCTGGTAAATAATTATTGTTTAACAATACGTTGATCAATTTTTATATAAGTATTAGCATACTGCATTATAATATATATACTCAGAGTGAAACGAGAAATATATTGATTTTAACCGTTATATTTTTTGAACATTTTTTTTTTTTGTGCATCTGTGTATACGATTTCGACCACAAAAATTGTTCCAATTATTAAAGTTATAAGTTATTTCTAATAGAAAATATTGTCTAGTTGGTACTTTAAGAAGAGTCATTTTACGAATTCCCCAGCAGTTTTTTTTCAAGAATTGTAAAAATTGTACAAAAAGTTATAAAAAAAAACGCTAAATATAGAAAGTAACAGTTTTCAATAAAATAAAATTATTGTTTTTATCATAACTCAAAATATAATAATCATGGAGACTAGAAATGTTTACCAAATGCTTATCTCACCGTTTGCTACAGATGGTATAATTTTTAAAAAAATTGTTGTGGCTATATAATATAATAAAATATGTTATGATTCTATAAATATTGAAATTTAACAAAAAGATAAAAATCACAAAGACACGTTACATTTTTCTAGCTTAAATTCATAAAACTTTCGATTTTTATATTGAAAATAGGCTTGAAAATAGGATACAAGGGTTTTTTTTGTAGCAAAAATAAAAATTACTGAAATGTTACAAAACAGGGTTATATATAATATTTCGATGCAGTTAGGTATATCATCGAATTTTAACTATCAATAATTTGATAATCAGTTATTTGTCTGTTATTTTAATAAATATACTATAGTAATTTGATTTGAATCGTGATTTCAAATTTACTGAATATTAATATTAACAATTTAGTTGTATTTCATGGTTTTCAAATATTTTAATGTAATTTTTGATTTTTCCTAAATTTTATCAATTAAAATATGAAAGGTACTGGGTATGAAAGGTATGAAATACTTTCAAATTTGAATATCATTTTTTATACTAGCTTTGATGACTTTTTTGACAAAATTTGGGGAACTAAATGTTGAACTTACTTTATTAAATACGAGTAATTTGATTCTTCAACTATAACAACGACCTTTAAGAATATAAGCTAATCCATCCAACCTTTTTCACACAGAATTATTTTATTTTGGGCAATGATTTTGTGTTTAAAAAACTAACACAACAATATCGTTTACCCATTCTTATATGTCACTCGACAACGGAGTCTCACTCCACATAAGAGTTTCGGCCTTTTTTTTTTTTTTACGTCTTGTGTGTTTTTATTTTATGCTTTTATATTTATATATTTATACAATATTGACAATATCTCTTCTGTTAATAAACATGTATACAAGATTCTTAACCAAAACCGTACGATACTAATATTATAAAACGTAATTAAACTTGATACACATACTCTTATGCATGATTATTATTTTGTTTACGTTTTATTAGAAACTATTCCGAGGGGTGATATTATCTTAGAATACAACAGCGGTGTTCCTTTGGAAATCACATGCATTTTAGATCCTGACAATGCTATAGTACAGAGTCAATTGCTTAAGCAAACTGACGATGAACACAAAACCAAGTTACTCAGTCAACGGATCTTATTCTACAAGTACGAAGAACGTGTATCTGACCAATACGTATCAATTATTAACAACACGGCAGCTCGATTACGCATACCCAACCATCCACCCGGTGTCAACATCTACAGTTGCATACTATTACTAGATAATAACCAAACGCTCAATGGTATAACAACAATCGTATACTACAATGCAAATTTACCTATGTATTTTGATTAATCGAAAATAATGTTCACAGAGCAACCATTTAGTTTAAAAACAAGCGCACCATCTCCGGTGTTGCCGCAAGAGACTGGGGTGTGTCTTAACACCGTTTATGTTGGATGTAAGTTAACCAAAATATAATATTTTAAGTAGCTGTCATTTTCTTCAATAATCTATTTTTATCCGACAAAAATCATGTTTTCGTTGTGGCAGTTACCAATGGCGTATTTATGAGGGAGGTGTTGAGGGTTTTCCCCTCCCAGAGAATTTCCAGACCTCAAATTTTTAAATTTCGATCAATTTGAAGTTTGTAAATTTTGAAAATTCGAATGAAGAAAAAATTTTGAAATTTATAAATTGTATTAATTTTATAAAACTATATTTTATAAAAACTAATAAAACCCGGGTACGATAATATTGGTTTTTTCAACTGTGCAAGTTAACACATTATACACTTCACAGACTAATGCCTATTTCTGTATCGTGTACTTCGCAGAGAATTGTTGTCTACTTACTGTGAAGATAGTTCGATGACGATTTATCATTATTACTATATCTACTACTTATTCTACCGATCGTTTTTCTTGAATAATGATTAGATATTCTTGGTAGCCTAATTTTACTCGTGTCATTCTTGTTATCATGTTATACGCATATACATTTTATTCTATGTTTCTTTTATCTTTTATTTTCGTAATCAATCAAAAATGACGAATAACAAATTTTATATTTTCAATAAGACGAAAATAAAACAGATAAAAAATTAATTTCGACCATTTAACACTGATACATTAAAAAAAAAAAAATGATGACGTCCTCACTCCACAAAAAAAAAAAATTTGTAAATACGCCACTGGCAGTAACTATACTTTGAATTGTTCAACTTGATTAGTTTCACGAATAATGAAATGTATGCATTGTTTAAACCGTACAAATTTAATATCGAAGAGTCTCGCTACAGACTTCTTTCTGAACATAAGAAATACCGAAAAGAAACAGCACGCAAATATTAAACAACTTGACCTGATAGCGAGACTATTATACATTAAGTTTTGTCTCAGCGCTCGGACTTCTCACTCACACATGTTGGTTGTATGCGAAGTGCGAGAGTGACAGAGCTAAAAACTGCAGTTTTGTGAGTCTCATTTTTCGCTTCGTGGATCCGTCGTACCATGGTATTATTTTATTTATTATTATACGAGTGGTATTTGTGGCGATAACAGATTATAATAGTAACAACAGCTATGCACGACGCATCGCACACCATGTGTTATAAGCAGAAGTCGGATTTTTTTGATTTTTACGTATATGTTTCCAAGACCGGATTAAGAATTTATCGGACCTGGAGCCTAGTAATCTAAAGAGCCCTTAATCCTTATAATATTTATTACCGATAAATTCATTTTATTTTTTTTAAAAAAAATGATACAAAGTAATTGATTATACAGAAATATCTTTAACAAATTTTAATATTTGTCGATTTTCGTAACATGCAAATATACAATATTGTTTTTTAAATGTAAAAATATAAATATAATACTTTAAAACTAACTTTATTCTCTTATTTTCTCTTCTCTTTTTGAAACTCCACAATAATTTCATCTGTATTTAATTCTTTTAGTAGAGATCTCAATTACAGATACAAATAATACAATTACGAAAGTTAAAAAATTTATAACCAAAATGAAATTTAAACTTAAAAGATTTTGAACTGGGTTTATGATAGAAGGCCCCTTTGGGGCCTTAAATATTTTAGAACCTGGAGCCCGGGTTCCTAGGCTTCGTGCTTAATCCGGCCCTGTTTGTTTCTAGTCTATGCAGTTAAATGGGAGTAAGATAACCTTACGGTCCATGAAATACAGAATTCACAAAAAAATTTATTTTGTATAAAAAAGCATATTTTAGGGGTTAGGGAATGTTTAATATTTTATAAACATTTTAATTTTTGTAAATATATTTTTTTCAAGAAAATAATTTATATTATCTATTATTTGTCTGTACATCGATGCACGTATTACGTACATCGTCATTTTAATAATATTGATAAACAATATTAACAATATACAATATTCACAATATGAGTTATTTTTATATTTTTCTAGGTTGTTATAAAAATTAATCACTATATGTCAGGGGTAATCAACGTACGGTTAAAATTTGCATTAAAACCGTAAAAAAAAAGTTATTTTAAATCAAATTAATAATAATATTTAGTGATTGATACATTTAAACCAAGTAATTAAAATATATATATATTTTTTTTTTACGGAATATTGAAAAAATATTTATATTCTTAAAGACATAAAGCACCGTAAATTTGATATTTTTAAAGAATATTTAGATAATATATTGTCTTTTTTAAACAAAATAAAACATCTTATTTTAAAAATTTTAAAAGAATAATAATGCGACCTCTAGTATAGGGAACTTTACGTATTTTTACTCTCTGCGGACGTCGAGGAACTTAGTACGTTTTACATTTGTTTTTACGATTCGTATGCTTTCACAAATTCGTATGATTGACGTTATCAGGATTTATTTTATAATAATAATAATAATATATGTATCACGTAAATACGCAGGTGACCCCAGAATTCCAAAAATGCTCGCATTTTGATATTTTAAACAAAATAACTACTTTATCCCGAGATATCACTGTAAAACGTGCTTCAAAAAAATAATTGAAATCCACTAAAAAGTATATTGGAGAAGTAAAAAGGCTCTCTGTACGTAAGATGAAGCGTTTGAAATAAAAGATAAAATGTTGATGTTAATAAAGAAGTGATATCAATATCCAAATGCTGTGCCTCAACTTGAAAAAATATCAATTAACAAAAATTTAAAAATGTTCAACTGTGCAAACATTGAAAAAAAAATAGCACAGAATAGCGTATATTAACGATGAAGTTAGCCATAAATCAGAGTTGACGACTTATTTACGAGTTAATCTGTCCAACTCGTATTTTTGTTGACAATCGATAATTCACGACGTTCTGTGCTATTTTTTTTTTCAATGTTTATACAATAGAACATCTTGAAATGTTTGCGAATTGATATTTTTTTAAGTTGAGGCACAGAATTTGGGTATTGATTTCATTTATTTATAAAGCTCCAAATTCTACTTTTTCAAAACTATTGACATAACAAAACAACAAAAAAAAAAACATTTAAAACAAAAATAAAAACACACACATCATACTTTGTACTGTACTCTATTAATACTGTCAGTACTTAGTATAGTGCGTACGACTTTTTATTTTTCCGGGTATGATTTTATTGGAGGCACAATCTACTGAGGGAGGGGGCAGTACCCAACCGGTAAACACACCTATGATAAAAACTCTCAAAAATTAATTACTTATTTTATAGAAAAATCATTTATAAATATAAAATATAAAAAAATATACAAATACTTATATTTTTATAGTTTTTACCATAAAAGGTACAAACTCAGAGTTAATTTATATATGCGCTTTTTTGATACTGTATTATTCTCTATTTAGATAAACCATTGCACATCACTAATTTTTCTTGCATATCCAACAATTGGATTAATCTGAAATGCAAATGGACCAAACCAGAAAATCCACTTCCTACGAAATATAAATTGTTCTTTAGATTGCCTGGTCGTATGAGCAATAGGTAATGTGTATAACTATTTTTTATTTAACAACATTATTTTTGATTTGATTTACTAAAAAATATTTTATTTCACAGTCATATTTATAGTTGCTCTTCTAATTCCGACATTGAAAATAATACTTGTTATTGGGATGGTACTACTCAGCCTATATATCGACAACTATATGAGTATTATTATTTCACAATAACTGGTGAAAATGCATTAGGAACCACAACTTCATCGTTTCGTTTTCATCATTACGCTAACGGTATATTTACTTGTCATTAAATGACTACGTTATCTACGATATAGTACCTACAATAAATAAATTTTCAATTTCAAAATTTAGTAATTCCTGATAGCCCAAATATTACCGTTCTCGAGGTAACTCAATCGAGTGCCATGTTAAGGTGGTCCGTTGGCATAATGATATCATTTCCACGAGAATTAATTCATAAGATTGAGTATAGATCTCAATGGGATTCCAGTCCTGAACATTGGCATGTGAGTAATTAATGTGATAAAAGTTACATTGTCAGTAATATTTATTTTTTCAGTCCATAAATGTAAATCTCATTTGCAATTCGTCTCTGACGTCCGAACAAACCATTTTAGTTCCTAAAGTGAATTGCTTGAAACATGACTCCAAATTTTATTATTTCAACGTCACGGATTTAGAACACCCATTTACACATTACGATTTTCGTATATTTGTACGTTCTTCTATTGCTAGTGAAGAAGATATGTGGTCTGCTCCAGGTCAAATTGCTCTAACAACAAGGCCTACAAGTAAGTTAATACATATTCACGACGTTTATAATTAAAATTTTTACTATAATATGAGTTACATTATGATTAAATTATAATCAATTATCTCAAATTATATTAATAAATATTTTTTCTGGCTAATGTATTCAAACCTTTGAAAATTATTCATGAAATACTATTGCAATAGTTTTTAAAATTATATGAAAAATATGATACATCAATAATAAAATAATGTAATGCAAATAAAATGTATCGAAGCGAAACCTAGTGCATCATCTGCTAATTGTTTAGCAATTGAAAAGTTAGCTATTCCAAAATTTAAAGGAAATCCAAAAAAATATATTAGTTTTCGTATTTATAACGATTGTAGTACCTAGAAGACCCCCTCAAACATTTATTGGGGGCTATGAGAGTGTCCAATCATCAATTGAAGGATTCAGAGACGTGTTCATATATTGGCAGAATATTGATGACAGTGAAAAGTGTGGGGATTCATTTGAATATTTTGCTTACTATACTTCTATATCAGCAGATAACAAAACAATGTTAGTATTATTAAATTAACAATTTATTCATCTATTTGTCTCGACATGAATCTTTTTCACTGATTTTTATGTAACAATATAGCATTCACCGAAGTGATGAAACACATGATAATTGTGCCAAATTTAAAGAACTCTATACAAACACTGAATACTTGTTTGCCGTGTACTCGTCTAATACAGAAGGTTTTTCTACAGAGTATTCCACAGTTTACGTACCTAGTGAAGCAGACAGTAAGTTAATAGCTAATTTCAAATAAATATAATATTTATACGCTTACTCTTTAATTGTCACAAGAATGTAATAAATAAACATATTTTACAGAAATCGAATTTGATAAAGTTATAAATGAATTGATAAATAATCAAAAAATATCCACAGATGATCAACAAAGCGATTACTCAATATTTTGATGAAAAAATCTCAACGACTGTCTATACAAGAATAACTTACGTAAGATATTATATGAACAATTGAAAAAACTTTATTCATCTTAATTAAGTATTTTAATATCTATAGATTCTGTTTTGTGTACAGGGACTGAATATAGGTATAGACTGGTTGCATACAAATTAAAACTCTTTCTTCAATATCACTCTGCCGGATCAAAACATTTTAGCAATTTTCAGTTCACTTCAACATTCAAAATTCTATAATAAATAGTTTGAATTTTCTTTATGTTTTAATTAACTCTTAACTGTCTTAACTTACTATTAGACATTAGTAGTATTAGTTGTATGGTCAGATCTGTGGTGGATATCTATTAAAAGAAAGGATGTTCAAGCACCTATTTCGATATATGTACTGATAAATTATTAATTTAATATTACTGCTTCAACATATATTGATATAGTAAATATTATTTGTATTAATAATTTATTTTAAACTGTATTTTAATTTTTTTGATAAATATTCAATAAAATTTGTAATTTATCATTGCTTAATATCGACATTATTTGTAGCGAAAAGCAAAAATACACATTTAATGATACTGTGCCCTTGATGAAAACCCTCATACCAGGGTGCTTATTTTAAACTACCTACGAACAGTTTCCATCCTTTAGAATCATTTGTATACAAGTCATATGATTTGAGTGGTCGAATGATTATTGTAAGTGATATATTGCATGGGCACTAGAGCATATTGTCCATTTTTTAAATTAAAAATTGAATGTATGAAAATAATAGATGTACATAGATGTATATTGTTCGCGCGGACTGGTAATGAGACATCCGGTATATGTGCGAGCTAATCTGCACGGCGGCGTTGTCCATTTTCTTATCAGTTTCTTTCCCACGTTGTGTAGATATTCTGTGAATTTTAATGTAAATTATAATTAAATTTTTATTGATAACATTACGTAACTTTTGTAATCTTTTTTTGTTTTTTTTTTCTTTATTCGTCGGCCAACGCCCTTTTGTTTTTTTTTTTCACTTTTGTCGTTGTTCGGTCGTCGTTCGGTCGCTGTTGAAGCACCATTTATTATTATTATTCTTACTTCTTTTGCTTCTTTGTTCACCATTGCAGCAATTCATTATTACTATTTTTCGTTACTCTCCTGCCATTGTGGCAACATTATTATTCTCGCCGATGTGGCTTAAATTTATGTTAAATTGTGATTTATAATAATAAATTATTTTCACCGCAGTACTACCAATAAACAAACCACAAGATCTCATTTTCGTTGTTGTGATTTATTTTTGTTTGCGTGTCCACCATCTATCCAATTGTGACGTTCAGGTCGTCATCTCGTCCACCGTTATACGTAAGTCCGCCAACGTCCGGTGTGGCGTGTGAGAGGCCTTCCAGAACTTCGAGCACCGTCAACATAAGTACTGTCAGTTACCATTTTGCCCATATTCACCGTGGTGTCGTCAAGTAATTTAATTTGTGATTTGAATATTTATTTTATAAGGTATTCGTCCGATTTGTGTGTGAGCTTTTGTGTGTCATTGCACCAGACTGATTCGACCACAGAGACCTCCCCCCCCCCCCCCCCCCCCCCCCCCCCTCCCCCCCCCCCCGCTCCCCACACCCTCCCGTCCCGCGCCCGTTCCTTTCGGGCGCCGCCGTCGTGTCAGGGGCCGCCGCCGAACGCTATCGGTCCATCGTGTACCTTGAGTTGCCTATCTACAAAAGCAGTACACGCAGTACGCGTGGAGTAGGTAAAATTGCCTATACGACTTATCATTGGCACCCACCACATTATTATTTATATTTTTATTTTTAAAATCTTATTTTTTGTTGTGTCATTGTGACTGGCCTTCGACCCTCGTTTAGGCCCATTCATATATAATATATGGATGTGCATGTGATTACAAACAACACAAATTGTAATTTACATACACCAGATTCAATTAAATTTAGGTTTCTATGTATGAACTGTAGATAATGTGTATAAAATAATTCTAATACATTTCTTTAGATAATCCAATATTGGCACAAATATTAAAGTTATTAATAATCTTATTTGGTAAAATAACCCGTTTTGCACAAAGTTTAATGTTTCAATATTTTTTGAAAATTATAAAAAAAAGGTAAAGTAAAGGTAAGTAGTAGTAAGTAATAAAAGGTTAAGTAAAAAAAAAGGTCTCGTATTATTCAGGGTGTTATGAAACGTGTTTACTTTTAATTAGAATTGAGAAATTTACATTCAATAAATATATGTAATTACATAAAAATCTGCACCCTACTAATTACTTACCAGTAGTTGCAAACATAAACACTCGCGATATGGCGTTGAATTCGTCCTTATTAATACGAAGGTGTCAATATCTGTCTCCAGCCTTTTTAAGCGCTTTTTGGAGTGTGAATTTTCGCAGATCGAAAATTTTCAAAACCAGTACTTTTTGCGTGTTGGTGGTTTTGTCTCAGCGCACCGAGTACGTGGATTCTTAGACCGAAATCGTTGGTACACAGGTTTTGGAAAGTGATCGATTGAGATTCCGATGATAATATTATGTTGAACATGTTATTATGAACATATTATGTACGCAGAACGCGTATGCCGTTAACTCGGCCGCCATAATACGTAATAATACGCGAAATTAGAACCGTTGTCACAACTTCGGTAATGAACCAATTTTCGCTCAAGCTGTATAGTTGACTTTGTCATGGCAAGACAAAAGTCTTGGTACCTTTAAGCACTTTTACCGAGCTAAGAAATATCAGCGTACTGTTATGTACACCATATTATATTATACGATATTATAATATTATTATTATTAGTATCCTTAGTATGTATATGGGGATAAATGATGATTAAGCATTTTGTCAATTTTATACGTACACGTCCGACCACCCGTTATTGAAGAGTCAGTCGCAAAACAGCTAAACAACAGTGTGTTCATTTCTTGTAAGCGTATTAATATTTTAAATAACGATTCAATAAAAATAGTGTATTAGTTCATATAATATTTGAGTGAATCAATAACTTCCTCGTTGACTTCCAAGTGTGCGAACTCAAAACTTGGCTGGTGATCGACCGAATTAACCAAACTGGTCACAATATCCGAGCCTACGGACATGACTGAGCGGCTCACAACAACTGGTGGCAGCGGTGCTTAACGTTCAACCAGTTCCAAGAGACCAGGTAATCAACAGGCAATCAACCGTCCACTATGCATATATTCGTCAGATATCTCGTCGTAATATCGTAAGTCCTATTATACATTACTGAATATTTATAATTTATTTTAATTAGATAATTTTAGTATATAGTATACATAATTGGAATTGTACCGTCAGCATTAATATAATTGTAGCTTTGGTAGGTTATGTCAAACCCAATAAGAGGCTAATTCGGACAAAATTAAGTAGTAATGCTTTTGCTGTAACGCAAAACAGAAGTATAACAGATTGGGTAGGTCTTGGAACACTGCTTGAAAGTACGTTTTACGCGCAGAGAACACTCGGATATTTACAACTTTATTTTATTTAACTCTACACGGCAAAAACCGGATGAATCAGTTCAGGACTACGTGACTCGAGTAGAGAATCTTCTTTGCGAGCTATGTATATAATGTTAATGTAAGTAGGAAAAGTACTGAAGCTGCAACCACCATTCAAAATTTTATTAAAGACACAACCCTGAGCACATTCGTCAAAGGCTTAGAACCAAATTTAAGGCAAACTATCAAAACGCGACATCACGCCACGCTATAAGAGGCCATAAACGATAGCTTGTAGGAAAAAAAGCTATTAAGATCAAATCTAGACACTCAACGTTTACTAAAAGATAAACAAGGAAAGAATATGGTGTCTAAACATTGTTCAATATGCCGCCAGACTAATCATAATACTACACAGTGCAGATTTGCAAGGACAAACTCGTTCTCAAAGGACACAGGAAGCGGCGCAATCTATGTTTTCACTGGTCGGTTGTCCCTGTGACTCACCGAAAAGTGTACTACTTCTACTGTATTTTATATTTTATTAAAACTATCTCTTGTCTGAACTGGTTGATCCATTATATAGCAAAATATTGTTAATAAGTGATATCAAAGACCCGAATGACATTTTGGAAAAACAACTAGAAAGATATAAAACATTATCATTTGAAAAAAAATGTAAAAAATTTTTTTCAAGTTCTAATGTTAATGTTCAGACAAAAATCATTACCTTTATATTATCATTATACGCCAACTGTGGAACCGGACTTTGCAATGTGCGACCCGTAGGTACCACTACGCGCGCACGGCAGCGATCACGAAGACTTTTCCCGTTTTAACCGTTCCACATTTCTGAAAGGTGGGATCAAAAAAAAAAAAAATAAAAACGACATAGCTAAATGAGAGAGGAAAATTGGAAAAATCCCCCCCCTTTCAAAACTTTTTACTTAGATAGTATCGACAACTGACTTTGTACTTTTATTGAAATATGAAAGTAGAGAATTATTTTTTCTTTTATTGCTCATATTTAATTACTATATAACAATTATAACTAATATTATAGGTTATAACAATGTTATGGTTACCAACTTTATTGTTCAATAACTTTATTATTTTTATTCACTGTCGGGTGTAGTCAGATGCTAGTATGTTTCAATATATTGTAGATCATGGTTATAATTATACAGTAGAAGTTAAAATTAAATCGTTTTCAATTTGATGTATTATATGTATTCAGTGCACACCGAGTGGAATAAGTAATAACGTAAATTTGACCAAAATTGAATAAATTGATGTAGTAATCGAAATGTTGCATTGACGGAACTGTTGTTTTTGTAAATGTAGGTACAATTATGAACTATGTTTCTCCACGAATCCACAATAGGTACAATAAATTATCAATAATCCTGTGAATTTTTTTTTTTAGATTTCAGATAAATAAATAGTATGTACTATGTATACGCAGTGAACTAAATCCATAGCGATAATGATCTCTTTCCCATTTCTCATAATTTAATAAAAACAATAGTATTTAACAAAATTTAATAGCTCGATAGTTTCATTATATCACAAAATATTTTATTATAGTGCAACTACATAATATGAGGAAAAAGAAAAAAATAATAGGGGTCTGATCCTCACGTCCCCCCCTTGTATACGCCACTGCACTTCCCGTCCATAGTCGGTAAAATTGTTTATAGTCGTTGTGAATTTTAATGTGTTCGTGATTTACATAAATCAGATTAATTATTTTATAAGAATGTATTCTTGACCACTTTCATCGTTACTTTTTTCTTTTTATTTCACATTTTCACGTCCGTCGTGATATCGCACCGTCACGACGCGTCGTCTCTGTTGTTCGTCGTTCGCTCTTATAATAACACATCACTTTTCTCTAATTCTTATAAAATAAATAGAAAAAAATAAATAA